TTTTTGTGAGTTTCGGACGTTATAATGATCTAATCTTCCCAATATTTTATATCTAGGTTTTTATAATAAAATAAAGACCACAAACTAAATTTCATCGAAATCGGATGAGATTTAATGTTTCCGCCCACAAGAGTAAAGGGCGTGGCAATTATTCCATCTTTGCAAAATTTCATAATTCTGTATTTCTAAGTAAAACTAGAGCACATGTCAAGTTTCAGTGAAATCGGTGCAGGTGTGCTATTATTTCCACCTACCTCCATATAGTCGAAACATTGTGCATCGTGGCCTCGATGATCACGTAAGAATGTTAAACGTGCGCACGCAAAACGTTATCTTAATCAGAGCGCTCGTCAAACTTTGTTTTCAGTCAAAAGCAATAACCGAAACCGCAAATGAAAGAAAACCACCTCACATTCAAAAAGAAAAGAACGTTTATCAATGTACCCGATTAACCCACTAATCGTCGGCTAACCCCATGCAGTAATTTGCACCCAACATTAAAGTCGTTTCTCTCTACATCGCAGCCCACACGGCGATTGTTGCGGTTTATTCCGCCGCCCACATCCTTTGCGCATTTGCCAAATTTTCCAGAGTATGCCTCCACAGCAATGAAAACAGGTGGAACGAGCACATGGACATTGCCTAGAATGCCTTTCGCCCTCACACTCAACGAGGGACTGTACCTCAGGTGGATTCTAAATTTGCCCCCGTCAGCCACACACGCTTCTATATAGCTTCGTCTGGCGCGACAATGGATCTCCGGCCGCGCATAACGAGCATCGGCGACAGCAACGGAAGCCGGAAGTGTAACGTCGGCGCCCTGGCACCAACAGGAACCACACCCACTTGCAACAGGCTTCAAGATACCGCCGCCTGCTGCTATGTACGTCTAAAACAACAATCCGGCCCACACCATCGTCGGACCACTGGACCGCAGGCACTGGACTGGAAGGCAGTGTATTCAACTGGTATGTGCTGCACATTTTGTGCTTCAAGTTTGTTTGGGAGTTCTAATATGCGCTGATTGGCCACTGATGATTATAAGGACGTGAGGTTTTTTTATTTGTGTTATTTATTTCTCATCATCCCGTGATTGAAGAAGAGGCTTTATATGTTCTGCCAGGCTAGAGTAGGACGAGCGAAGGCTCGTCGATATCAACTGATGTGCTTGAACTGATATAAAATTATATTTGAGTATGCAGTCTGGTTGGAGTGATAACAATCATGATCCTTTTAAAATCACCTGAATGATTTCTTTTCCACATACTGCTGTCGTACGAGATGAAACTGACGTGGCATAAATCGATTGATTTTTATGTTGTAGTGATATCCATGCAACATCGTTTGGTGGTTTTCGCAGTTGACTACTTGACTAGGTGTTGTTGTTGAAGAGATTTACTTCACATGCGTATATAGACGATGACTATAACGAATTTGTATTCTAGAACAGATGGTATTTCCATTTTTAATATCCACACATGATTGAAATTTGGAGATGCTCAGAGGGAAATATTGGCCGAGAGCTGTGTTTATTGCCAAAACTGCAGCACACGGACTTATTTCAATCATAGTCCCATTATTTAAGTAGGAATTGGTAGCAGATTGAATAAGTCGTATCGATCATGCTCTACCAGAGGCAATGTGATGCTAAATACAGCATGCTTTTCTGTAAGTCCTCCCTTAACCTTCATGAGTTGGTATAGCTGCAGTAAATCTTCTTGGTTTACAGGCAGTTCCAATGGTGCTGATAAGTGAAGTTTGATTTTGTTTACTTCGACTTGCAATTGGCTGGGCGTCAGCAAAAGAGGACTTATTCTTCCGTGATTTGTATCTATTAGAACGGCTAATGTTACAGATTGTATTCTTTACAAATTGGCTGCCATAAGTGTGAGTTGGATGGATAATGAGGAAAAGATTCGAAATAATCTTTCTTGGTATGTCTCATGCCTGGCGTTGTTGATCCTCTGGAATATTTGACTGACTTGTTGATCAATGAGGTCGAACTTCCTCTTGACCGCCTTTTGATCCTGCTTCAGAATGTTGATGGTTGAGTCCACAATGGATGTTTGATTTCTGATCAGGTGCAGCAGATGTAGTTCATTTTCCTTAAGGTCTGTGATTGCTTTGGACATTTGTTCTACATATTCTGTGTCCAGTACTCCAAACAAACTGCATGAATGGCAGCTCGCCTACGCAGATTACATTTTACTATTGCGTTTCTAGCTGCGACGCTTTTTCAGTCTGTTCAAGATGTGCTACCAAAGAAAGACATGAGCTTTTTTGTGCGATTTCTTAACATAAATGGCGCAGGGCCCTTGGTCCATTAGACAGCGCTGCTATTTCTTGTTATTTATAATTAAGATTTTTAAATTGGTTCGCAAGATATACGTGATTAAAAGGAACCAATTTTTGCCTTAAGCTGAATAACGGTAAATTGCAAATATTTCGAAACCGTATCTAGAGAAAAAAAAAATTACCCGAATTTCGGAATCACCGAGCGATTCTACATAGAAATTGGATAGTGGCGTCCGGAGAACAAAATAGTATAAAGGAAAGTCGAGATTCTTTGTACGCGGTAATCTCGAAAACTACTGAACGGATTTTGACGAGATTTTCTCTAATATATTCTGTATCGATAAGAGAGTGACCTTTTTAATTTGGAATTGTAATAGGGTTGCCAACTGTTAAGAAAATTGCTATATTCAATTCTAATAAGCGTAGTAGTCAGTTCTGCACCGTCACTGTCAAATGAAAAGACTTCGCCTTTGGATGTGTAATAATGTATTATTTTTCTGAGTAGGGTTGCCACCTGTTTAAAAACTATAAGATCTTCACCGTTCGTTGGATAAAAAATGAGATACCAAAAGAAAGTGCATGGCCTTCGCATGTATACATAGTATAAAGGAAGACGAGATATTTTAACCACGCTACTGAACGGATTTAGACAAGATTTTTTATGTATATCATAAACGAAGTACATGATGACATATGATTTCTTTCTCCAAATACGTAAATGTACATTCATATGCATACATTCAGCGCGTGGCGAAGCCTCGCGCATCCGTGGTCGGCTAGTATTAAATATAAATAAGAGCATAAGATAAGAATTTTATGTTTTGAATAAAGACTCTCTGCTGAAGACGCGAGAGCGTTGAAACGCGTAGGAGGGTAAAAGGAAAATTTAATTTTTCGCTTTTAACTCTATTGGCCGAAGCACCTCCAACCCAGCAAACATAATAAGTAAGAATTTGGCCCAAATAATTAGGACTATTTTCAGATTTCTCTTTTTTTACTTTATTTGGTGCTAGTTATACAAATACATCAAAATATTTTAAATTAAATGTACGTATGAATTGATCTCCAGTTTCAGGGTCGATTACCAAACTGCGCTTCGATCGACTTTTGGTCACGGAAGTAAAGTCTGATTTTACTTCCACAGATTCATGGATTCATGGAAGTTATGTCCATGATAGTTGTATATTAAATGAGCCGCTCACTGCGCAAATTGTTGACCTCCATTTTTTTTTTTATCTTAAATTTTAGAGTCAAAGCTGGAAGTCCGGTGCAAAATTAGTCAAATAAATGGTCAATATTCCGAAATCCCAGACTATTTATATATAGATAAAATAATAAGATATAAGATTTTGGTAGCACAAGCGATGAATTGAAATTTGTTTACATTAAGGTAGCCAATTTTCGAATATTTTCGAAGCTGTTGTTTAAAACCGGTCAAAGGAACTCTTATGACTTATCAGGTTATTTTTTACCTTTGTGCTTTATTTTTAAAAAATGTTGAATGAACTGTCGGTTATTCGGTCGGTCGGTGAGAGTTAAAAATGATGGCTATCAGCCACCGGTTAAGAAACAAACCAAACTCTTCGACGGGATTCTGAAATCGATAAGGCATCCAAGTTATCGTTAGAGTCCCAAATAAATATCGAACAATTTTTATCGAAGGTGGCTTTAGAAAAGGTAATCGAGAAAACTTCATTTGAAATCGATGAAGAAGACGAATTGGACATTGAAATTGAGGAAGAATGGGATAAGGACTTGCTCGAGTTTTTTAAGGAAAATTCGAACACAAACACTTCTTCAAAGAGTTCTGAATTCTGAAAGTCTCAAAATCTGCATAAACTGTAAAATAAATCCATGTGAAATTGTATTTATTCCCCGTGGTCATGTAACATTATGCGAATCCTCATCAACTTTTCAACTTTTGATCAACTTTTGAAGCGCGATTAGATTTGTTTAAAGGCGTTCGTAATATGTCAAAATGTAAGGGTCAAATCGAAAAATTGTCTCGCCGAACATGTTCAGCGTCCTTGAAAACATATTGTAAGACCTTAGAAAAATTCAATTTTGTGAGGGATTTCGTGTGCGCACGGATTAAAGGATGAGTAATTTTAAGCACTTGAGTCGGAGGCACAAAACGTACACGCCAGACCTCTTAATGTTAATTTTTTACCCCCAAATTTGCAGGGGATAGTTTTTAGCGATTAAGGAAGCTAAAAAGTCAAGAGCGTCAAAAAAGAAGCCATTTAATTTTTTTCTGGTCAGTGTAATGTACATATATAGTGCAAATGAAAACAAATCTAATTAGCTATTTTAGCAAGGCGAATTCATGTAAGGTACTAAAGCCGCTGAGCTTTTCGCCTCGGTGATTATTTATGTCAAAATTATGTTTTGTTGTAAGAATGAAAATGAATAAATGACATATAAATCAGCAAAATGAATAAAATGAAATGAAGTTAATGTTAGTTCAGGACTTTTTCGGGGCTAGTTCCGGAATAACACGGGATCATTTCTTGACTTGTTCAAGACTTTTTCTGTTTTAGTTCGGTAATAGTTCAGGACACAGATGTTTACACATAAAATTTTACCACGTGATCGGTTTCCGATAATTCGTTTTTTATAATAATTTGGCTAATTCCCATTCATTGGACCCTGAAGCCGGTCGTATTTTTTTGCTTAAAAATTACTTGTTTTGTTTAAAGACTTACTGGAATTATTGCTTGCCAATATTCTTCAAGGGGATTTTCCAAATCTATAACAATAATTCTGTAGTTGGGGGCGCTTTTATTCGTCCTAAGATACATTTTTGATCCCACGTTGGTTATGTACTGAAAATATTTTATGAAATGTTTCGCTTTAATTTATTTTTTTAAATTTACTTACCTCGTAGTCATTTTCAAACACGTCTATCACCTTGATAACCTTCAGGGATGATATTACATTTTTTGTCTCGCTTAGATCAATATAATAAAGGAGATTGTCACGACAACCTTTAACTATAGGCATTATCAAATACCTGCCGCAATCGGACACAAGTGCTTGTCTGTAAAAAATTTAGAGAAATATAATTGAAAAAAGTAAAATAAATATGGAGAGATTTCTTAAAATACTGAGCAAATCAATGTTACTATAACATATTTTCTCGCAAGAATGTATGTATCTACGAAGATTATTTAATTTCTGATCTACTAACTCACGGAATTAACATGGGAAAAATGTTTTTGTAATTATTCTTTCCTAAGTGTTGGATGAAAATGCAACCATGCTTACATACACACACCCATACATCATACATTTAATATTGACATACTACATATAGCTGAGCATATATTTATATTATTAAACACCGAAAATTAAAAATAATAAACCTTGTTTTGGGCGAATTACTGCCTAGTTTTTATTGTGAAACCATAGATTTAAATAAATAAATATCCTACAAAATCGTTTTCGGAGACTTTCAGGGTGACCCCCGTATTTTGCTTTTTAATACGAGTATGAAGCAATATGATAACACATTCTGTAGGTGATGTTGTAAAAGTGAAAAGTGATCTGGTAAAGGTAAACGGTGAATCTTCGATCTAAAATGTCAGATAGTGAATTGTTCGGTGATTTTTCTTCTGATGATTATCAGAATGACCCCAGCTTTTCATTGGCAGGACAACAACCACGAAAAAATATTGCATCAAAAGCTTCATATCGCATAGCATCTACGAGTCAGTCGTCGTCGTCAGAAAATTTTGCATCAAAAGCTTCATCTCGCAAGAGGATTGCTGAAGAAGCTGTCAACATAGCATCTACGAGTCAGTCATCGTCGTCCGAAAATATTTTGGAAAATGAAACTGCAGTGTCTTTAAGATCAATTTTAAGCCCAAAATACAATAGCGCAGTGACAGTGGCAGTGGCAGTATTTGGAAATCAGCTGTTTTTTAGAAACTGTGCTGTTCAATGAAGCGACACACAGTACAGCAGTGACAGTTGGCAGTACTGCTCAGCTTATCCCAATTTCTAAATTCACTGCCACTGCCTTCATTGCAGCAAACTTCAAGTGTCGAATTTGACATAAATGAAAGGCAGCCAACTTATCTTTGTGTCACTGACAACAAAATTTTTTTTTGAAATTGGCGCGTTATTTTTGGCATTTTTATGTTTTCCGCGGGCGTTTTGCACCCTTTATAGGTAAGTTTCTTACTTTTCACAGTCTTTTATTTAACTTACAATGTATGTATGTATATATGTATAAATGTGTAATACATACATTAGTTGCGTTCCAGACGCTTCACGATTTGCAGGTTTCTACAGGAAGCTGTTCCAGGTGACCACCTTCCATAAGGTTTATTAATGGAGAAAACAGCAAACCTGCAAATCGTGAAGTATCTGGAACGCAACTATTATAATTTTAATTCCATGCTTCTCCACAGGAGTGCGATGGATGAACGCATAATAGAATTTGTAAGGGACAACCCATGCATCTACGACAAGAAGCACGGCGGCTATAAAAACGAATTGCATAAAGACCGCTTGTGGCTTAATTTTTCAATGGAAGCAAACGTCCCAGGTAAGCCAGTGGTAGACTGTGAACCCTTTCACTTCACGTACAGCTTTTATTATCTATATATATAAAATTAAGTGGCAAAACTTCCTGTTCGCATACTCCTCCTAGACGGCTTGCCCGATATCAAAGAAATTTTCAGGGGTGATTGGGGTCTGTGTGGAGGGTGCACATAAGAAATTTCATGTGTGTATCTTTGCACGTTTTGCAAAAACAAAAAAAAAAAATAATTCTGTTTGGCTTTACGTGTTTTTTCGGATTTGTATCATTCCTAAACGGCTTGCCCGATTTCAATGAAATTTTCAGGGGTGATTGGGGTCTGTGTGGAGGGTGCACATAAAATGAAATTTTCAGAAGTGATTGGGGTCTGTGTGGAGGGTGCACATAAGAAATGTAATGTGTGTATCATTGCACGTTTTGCAATTAATTCTGTTTGGCTTTACGTGTTTTTTTGGATTTTTATTATTGTTTTGCTGCAAGATTGGCAGTCCTGCCTTTTACTAATAAATAAACAGAAACAGCTGGCGAATGTTTACAATTATTAAAAAACATTGACAACAATTTAATTTATAATCTTATAACTGGAGTCTACTATCGCACCCTTTCCTCAAACGTGTATTAATTCAATATTCAAATAACGTATATTTATATAATTTGAAAAAATCTCCCGACTATACAAATATGTAACTAACTAGCGAATACCCGGCGAGCTTCGCTGCGCCTTAAAAGTAATTTTATTTTGTCCACCCCCGAATCTACCGGAAGACAAAATCAGACTGAGAGTATTCAACCAGTATGAGAATGGTAAACGAGATTAATTTGATACGAGTTTAAAATTTTATTGGGAATGAATACCCAAAGAAATTACAAAAAAAGAACGGAAAATTAATAGTTTGGCTCAATTAATATTGACCGTGTTATCGGTTACGTTGCTTGAACTTATACCGAAAGGCGAAATGAAAAATTATCGGTTCAAAAATCTTGACCGTCGATCTGTGGTGTTACTTGATTAAAAAAAAATCAGTCAATCAATTAACTTGCTTTTCAGAATTGGCGAACTGAACTGAACGAGAATGGTTATGACGTTCCCACGACAGTCGGGTCTACGTAACCGGAACGACCCAGATTTATATCTGGCCAAGGACTGTCACTCCAGCAACACTCCCCCAAAATCTCTTTGGGGAATTTGTACAACAACAACAACAGAATGGTTATGACTGCTGATCAATGGTGTTCGCATCGCAGATCGCCCGGCTAGCTCAGTCGGTAGAGCATGAGACTCTTAATCTCAGGGTCGTGGGTTCGAGCCCCACGTTGGGCGCCAATGATTGACTTGTCTTGTCGGTCCAAACAGGAATCTCGATAAACTGTTGTTGGGTAGCTCGTTTGCTATGGGATGGTGACAATAATGAGGTTGACTTACGTTTGATGATTCTGGGATTACCGGTGTACGGTGGTCTAACTGCTGCTAAATGAATAGACCAGAATTTATATCCATACTCTTTATTTCCATAGGTAACAACTTGGTTGGGGATTTGCCGGAGGGAATGTGGTGGAAAAATGCCGCTAAGTATAATCCCCAGTTATACGCACTCTGAGGATTGACTTTAACCAAACCAATGTCGTCAGCTTTAATAAATTGCTTGGTTAGGATTACTTCCGTTCTTGCGAGGGCTGATGTGTGTTGTTCGGTCCGTGTCCAATTGCAAAAAGAAAAAATATTTTTCTAACCTCGTGGTATGTGACCACCGATTCTTTTATCGTATGTCAGTGTGGGCGTTTTCATAGTGGACATGCCAATTCGCGTCTATACCGATATGATGGTTCGTGTCTTGAATAACTATTGGTTACGTACATTCATCTGGCAATTCCCCCCCATTTTGAAGTTTAGCTTTGACAGTTTTATGTTTACATTTCTCATAATCGTTCTTATGTCGAATTTCTTATTTGGCCAATAAAAATAATAGATCAAAATTTGCATATCAGAAGAAAGGGAGTTTAATCACCTTTATAACGATATAAATTTTTTAAAAATCAGTTCAAAATTGTTTGAAATATAACGAATTTAATTTTTCGAAGACCTGAACTTTGACTCCTTATAGGACTAGTAATATAAGTTTGCACAAAAAGAGTTATACCATTTAAATAAGAGCAAAAGGGGGACTACGTCTACATTTTTAGCGTTCCAATTATTTACATGCAATAATTAAATATAATTTTTTACCAAAGGTCCTATTTCGATCTTCGAAGGCCCATATTTCGATTTCGGAGGCTGACTTCGGAAAACGGAGAAATCACTTTTTTACCCATGACTCAATCTCTTAAAAAAATTGGTTTGGTCCAATACCAAAAAGTTGATTTTGCCGTACAGTGTAATTATTTGAATATATTTGAAACAAAATACTTAATCATTAACATTAAAACAAACACCAAATCTTTTTTGCTATTCAAAATCAAAAATAAATAGGTTTAAAATGATTGGATTCTTTAAATTTTTTTTTATATTTCTCTCCGCGTTAGCGCGCCACTCCGCGCGCGCCGCGTACCCCGCGCGGCCGGCGCGCACACCACGTCACGCTACGCCGCGGTGCCCCGGCCCCCCCCCTCCCCGTCTCCCGCCGTGCTGTAACGCAGGTAGATTTATTTTTTGTATACGTTGAAATAAAATTTTTATATATTTTAAACATCGAGGGCCTATATTCAATAATACCCTCTATCTGCACAGTTTTCACTTGAGATTCTGATATAAAAATCCACCTACGCTTTAACTGTCATCAGTGATATTAATTTTACCTTATATAACGACAGGTAATAAGTCCCAGATGGTTTCAAAAATCACAAATTAGTTTTTGTGCAAATTGCAGATAGAGGGTATTAATGAATTCAAGCCCTCGATATTTCACATTTTTATATTAATAAGTTATTGGAAGCAGGGATGCCAACTTGGCTCAAACCGTGCCATTTGTCCCTATTTTACTTCAAATGGCACTTAATTTTTCAATTTGGCACAAAGTGCCAAAATGGCACTTTTGTAAAAAAATAAGATTTCAATACATTTTTGTGAAATCCCTTGCGTACACTTCTTTTTCTCAACTAAAATTTTCTTATTTATAAAGGCTATTCAACTGGTTTATCTTATTTTATCATTGCACTTTTGTTTGGAAAATGTAGCTTTATTTTATTGCTAAATGTGAATGATTAAAAGGAATGACACCTTTTTTGGCACTTTTATTTTTCTATTTGGCACTTTTTTATCCTCAATATGGCACCTCATAACTAAGGATAGTTGGCAGCCCTGATTGGAAGATTTCTGCTGTGTTTTGGGGCAGCAACTTGTCTGCAGTAAAAAAGCATATAATTCGTGTTTCAAAAGTGTGTGAAAACCAATCAATTAACTTATATGATCTCGGTTCCGATATTAAATAATCAATAATTGTTTATACCCGCATTTTGGCACATTGGCTCGTTGAATGTGCCATCTAGTAAATAGTGTCGTCA